ACGGCTAGACCGATTTGGCTGATTTTTTTTTTTTGTTGTGTTTGTTATTGTCAGGAGAAGGTTCTTATGACAGAAAAAGTCCTGAAAATCCTAAGGGAACGAGAGAAAACGGGATTGCGCGTACGAAATCGCGGGGAAAAGCTAGTATCAGTATATTTTTTAAGATATCAACATCTTTGAAATATTTGAAGCTATATACTCACATCCTCTATAGCTTGATCCAACTGTTTGTGTATTTGTAGCCCCACCCATGGGTCTGTGCCCACGCTGGAGTCATGTCTTTCACAGTCTTTCGACCCACACGTCTCGCAACCCTGGAAATAAGAACAATAATAGGTATTTAAATTTGCAGTTACAGGTAAGAATATTAAAGGTATCCAGTACTATACTATAAAGTACACTAATCTCAGAAACGAATTTAACTTCATATTTATTTGAAACTTCAACTGAATTTTTTACAGGGTTTTCCTAGGAATACATCGTTTTTTTTTATTTTATTATATCCATTTAAAGCTTGGCTGCCCTAGCAAATACAAATATTTAGTTAATTACTTATTTACTGTATTGTACATTTTATTCACAGCATTGAAGAAAAACGATTAGTCATGCAAAATAAACAAAATTGGTGATGACTAATCAGGCACTTGAACAATTTGGATAATCGTATTAGTATGATCACGACATGAGTCATACTTGCTCCCTTGCAATTTCAAAGAAACTGTCAATTACACTTTATTCAAGAAATTATGAGTAATGGTGCAAAGTATAGAACTGAACAGTACTGTATTTTGTAATATGTATGAATGTGAAGTAAGGTTCAAAATAAATCTTCAAAGTTAAATCAGTAGAAATCTTCCGCTTCTTTTCTACTTATCTCTATAGTTTATTGGTTTAATGTATATTATTGTCTTATTTTACAATTAATAAAACACTATAACATACATCATACCCATACACTTGGGAATAAGCAGAAAAAAAATAATTTCTAATGTTTTAACATCAATTGTATGTAGTTACTTATACATATACCACAAAAAAATTTAAGTCTAAAAATATGAAAATCTTTTCCATGTAATTCGTCCATCTACTGAACACGTTTATTCTTTGTCAAATATTTACGTGCGTAAGAAGAAAAACATAATGATTAATTTAGAATGTCTCACGAAAGTTATAATATAAATGTTTACTGTCCTCTAGTGAATAATGTATGTTAATTTGCATAATCTTAACGACTTTGGAAATAGAGTAGAATGCCAATAAATCAATTACACCAGCTATCTTATCTATCACATATATAGATAAAGGATTAAACACCAGATATGTGTTGTAAAACAATATAATGGTAGGTATATTGATAATATACTGATTACTGACCTACAAAAGTAATTTCAAGTACTTTGAAACAGCTGACAGTAAGAGAAATAATTTGTTTTATTATTAATTAAATATATCTAAACAAATAAGACAGATGACCTCATTAAGGTCGCAGGGAACCACTGGATGCAGGTCGCTTCCAACCGGCCTATCTGGAAGTCATTGGGGGAGGCGTATGTTCAGCAGTGGACGTCCTGTGGCTGATATGATGATGATGAAACAAATAAAAAAGAATTTCCAGTATTTAGTCTCGCTAAAACTCGAGAAAAGTGGAACCAATGTGGTAAGATTTTAATAAGCAATTGTGGACGTCCAGGGAAACAGTAAGAAAAATGTTTGAAGTGGTACGAAGTGTGCCAGGTCCGCTAGTTATTCAATAAAAATTATTATATTTGACTCAAAACCAACTATAATGGACTCTAATTGTTACCACCATATTCAGGTTTATTTATTGTTTACTTAAACCAGTCATTAGCTATTATTTTTGATAAAAATCATTACAAACGAATAGTTGAAGTAGTCGTTAAATGGCTCTGACTTTCACACTTCCTTTGTATTACAACAGGGTGACAGACATCTTAAAGTAATTACTATAGTTAATTAGAATAGCTATCGCCCCTTGCGGTATGATGTACTATGTCCAGTACACCCTGTATAAGTGTAAGTTACAGCAATTATATAATATTTAATTATAAGGACATTTAATTGTACTTGACCCCACAGACCATTGCAACGGTTTTGTGGGGCTTATATAATAAGATACCTTTATGATAAAAAGATAAATAAATAATAAAATTAGGACTAAGAGCAAAGATTTTCGCGTCTCTTAAGCCGAAGGCTATTTTACACTACTTCAATAGTAACCAGTATCTTTAAACCAGTTTCTATCTGAATACAGATACAGATAAGGTCTAGATAGTTAACTGATAAGTAGATTAACTAAGAAAGTTAGATGATGGAACTAGTTTTATGCTCTACCTACATACTAAATACATTCCTTGATATAGAACTAGAAAATAGACACTGAGCACAAGTTGATTAATTAATAAGATCAATAAAGTTCCACAACTTTAATAAAAACATAAAACAATAGTTTGTTGTTTTCTTGATTGTTTCCAATAATTGCTTTCAAGATAATTGCTTATCAAATATTTAAAATGATGAACAAGGAGGCGTACATGACCTCAATAGTGAATAACGAGTTTCCTATTACAAGTAAACAGTAAACAAAAGGTATTCTCACTCACTTTGACAGGCGCTTTCGCTTCATCCTTGCTCGTCTCACCGACGAAATGGCACTTTAACTTTTCAATATATTCTTGTAAAATACTCGAATTGAGCCCGTAATAACAAGCCAGACATCCCAACACATAGCTAAATGCTATTGTGGCAAAGTGAAACCTGAAAAAAGTTATCAAACATTGCAATATAACTCACAGAGTACACAAATAAATTGAAAAATATTAATACTACCTGTAAAAATATAAAACTGCAATCGACGTACATAGAATACCGAAATAAATAATATAATTTTTATTATCAAATTTCTCTGAAAGCTTCGTTTGACATCTTTCACTCATGGCTAAGCGAATAATGACGTTTATGTGACGTATGATTTTGAGATCATTTGACAGCCAGTGTTACCTTGATTGGAGAAAAAAAACTGGTTGACTCGAATATAAAATAATTTTATTACCTGTTGAGAACTGACTGACACATAAAATGTGGTTCATTAATTCGTTAAAAGAACGATGAGATGGGAGATCTGACGCTATCAATTATTTCCTATCAATTATTTCCTCGTTGTTTGTTGTGGATTTATGTGGTTAACCAAATTCGTTAATTAAACAAAGTGGCAACACAACTGTTGTCGTCCAGAAATTGAATTTTGAAAATTGCAACTTTAAAATAGTAAATCCATCTGTAAACAAAAAGCAAACCTAGCCTTACCCTATTTCTTGAGCACAAATAGCTGTTATTTGTAATCTGTAATATACCAACATTTTAGTGAAAAATAAAAAAGCGAACAATCAAACAAACCAAATAAACGTCAATTTTGGAATTGTGACAGATTGTCAATTTCAGTCTCATTTCAAAAAAAAATAAAAAATCGTCTATAAAAATAGTGCAAATTATTTTTGTGTTAAAATTGTGGATAAAAATTAACGTAAATCTGTTTACAGAAGGTATCTTATTTATTTTCTACCATATTTAAACTTATAACCTTAACGTCTTTGTTGGGTCAAAATCAGCCGGTTTTTAAAAATAAGACTGAACAACATTTTTGCAAATTCTAGGCAGGTAAATAAAATCCTACCATGTGCAGAGTTAAGTTTGTTTTTTGTAATAATAACCAAAATTCTGAGTACTTAAGTTGGCGAGCGATAACCAAAGTTTCAAGTAAGAATCATCTTGAAAGTTTGCCTATAGTATTTGGTCGAATACCTACCCACATGAGAGAGTATGAACAAATTATATTATTCAGTTTGTGAAATTACACTCCTTCAGTCTTAATTCAAACATAATTTCGATACATTCTTCCTATGAATTTCTACCCTACGGCTTGAGTGAATCTCATTATTATTATTTTGGAATACATTTAAATTTTAAGATAAGCTGACTGTATTGACCTTTTGCCCGTATACAATATAAATAATTTACCTATCTAAATAATTACATACCATTCTTTACATTTACTTATCAAAGTACTGTTTACCATATCAGAATATTCCAAATAACTTGACATGAGTTGAGGTTGTTTCTTACAAAGAAGTCTTTTGTGAGTTATGTAGCAGAAGCTCAACTAATATTTTTGTAATTGTTCACAGATAAAATGGCATTCCATAGATGTGTTCTACAAATATCAAGACAGTACATAACAAAGAGTTGCATACTCCAGTCAGCTAACAAACAAAAATACACTTGCACTCAATTTAACCAACAATACAGTACTAAACGACCAAGACTGTTCTCCGACAGACATGAATGGGTTGTAATCGAAAAAGGTGTTGGAACTGTAGGCATTAGCAAATACGCTCAAGAATCTCTAGGTGACATTGTCTTCGCACAGTTACCTGAACCAGAATCCATGGTGAACGAAGGAGAAGAATGTGGAACCCTTGAGAGTGTGAAGGCGGCCAGTGAAATATACTCACCCGTCAGTGGTATCATCAAGGAAAAGAATATTGAAGTAGAAAGCAAACCCGGGCTCATAAACACAAACTACTATGACAAAGGCTGGTTGTTCAAAGTTGAAATGACAGACGCTGCTGAAATACAAAACTTAATGACCGAAGAACAATATAATAAATTCCTCGAAGTAGATGCTGAAAATAAAGAAAAAGATGAAAAAGAGAAGGGTGCGGACACATAGTTGCTTGTTTAAAATCTTTATTTATTTATTAACTGTTAGTAGAGATGTTAGTATGTTGTGTTATTACCTTTTTAGTGCAATAATGAATTCTGTTACAAATTTAAGATTTAAATGAAAACAACAAACAAATATTGTGCGTTATCATTTTTATTAGTGCAATCTTAACTACAAAAATCAATGGTAAACACATGTCTACTTTGGCATCAATCACACAAATAGTGCAATTAATATTTTATCACAATAACTTTTTGTATGCCAAAAATGTAACATAATTATCACAAAAATTTCAAAAAAAACTATCACATATCAGTAAATATGGCAAATTATATGTACTATGTGAAATTCCTTATAAAATACTAGACCAATTAAAACTTACAGATAAAAATAAATGCTGTAATTTTGGTGCTAGTACATATCATCAATACATAGTATAAAACAAAGTCGCTTTCGCTGTATGTCCGTATGTATGCTTAGATCTTTAAAACTACGCAACGGATTTTGATGCGGTTT